CCGTTTCGAAACTTCTCCCAGGATTAAATGAGACCGGAAGAATGTTTCCGCGCTTTACGATCCGTTGAATCGTTTCCCGTAATGAGAAAACATCATAATTCTACAATAAGTAAAAAATGCAATCGCATACGACTTATAAATGTCACTTTGTTACATATATACATTTAGGTCATATTATGTTAAGTACGTTGATACTGATCGAGAGATAAGAGATGAAGTAATAATTTAAATTAGTATCTTTCTCTCTTTCTCTCTTTGTACAAATACTGAAAGAAAATTTTATTGAAAAATCTAAAACTTTGCTGGATACAGCCTAGACTTAAAAATAATTTTGTTGGAAATTCAAACTGGTTCCTAGAATCTCAAAATTTTTTACATTGCTTATCATTTTTTAGTTTCCAACAAAATTATTTTCAGATTTGTATTCAGCGAAATTTTAGGATTTTCAGCAAAATTGTTCTTTTCGTGTATTATTTATCTTAAGAAAATTACCTTTTTAAAAAAAGGTAAAAAAAAGGCGCCAAGTGTGCATGTACGTTTCATAAAAAACTGTACTTTACATAAACTAAAAAAAAAACCGTTACATAAATAATATAGTTCAAGTGGTAATGTTGTTAATTTTTTATTATAAATTACCCCTCAGTAGTACGTATGCATGTATTAAAAAAGAAATGAAATCAAATCTTTAAATTACGCCAATTGTAAAACGAATATATAATTTCTTGCAACATATAACATATACTATTGTAATTTGTAAATTGCGAAAAGAACATATATTTTATTGCAACATATAACATTTAATTAACGAGACAAAATGATACGTACCTTTATCTTTCTATTCAAGAGTCTTTTATATATTTGCAATGGAATACAACATTTAATCTAAAAAAAATTAAAGACGAAGCATCACAAAATGAGAAAATTTTATTAAAATAAAATTTTTTATGTAAAAATACTTGGCGTGCTGCTAGGCTTTAAAATATAATAAGTAAATGTTACATAAAAGAAATAAACAATGTTTACTATTTAATTAACAATAATTAACATTAAAATTACAATCGCAATTACAATTAAGATTATAACTAATTTTAAATCTACTTTTAAATTTAACTTAAACCGCACGTCTTACAAATCTGAAATCATTATTTCTATACTAGTCTTATACGCCTTTACAATATATAACGCACACCATATAAATACGTATTCTATATTAAATCTAAGCTGCATACCTATCTAAATCTGGTCGCACATATAAACACGCTGTATATTACTAATTCTCTTTCTTAAATCTCTTCATTATTTTTCATATTTGGTATTTTTTATTATTTGCTTGTACGCACACGCACTGTATATTGTTAGTCCACCTCATTTTCTTACTTAATCTCTTCATTATTTTTTTTATTCGATATTATTTGATGATCATCTTATTATATTTTGAGGTGTAGCAGCGCGCCAAGTATTTTTACATAAAAAATTTTATTTTAATAAAATTTTCTCATTTTGTGATGCTTCGTCTTTAATTTTTTAAAATTAAATGTTGTATTCCATTGCAAATATAAAAGACTCTTGAATAGAAAGATAAAGATACGTATCATTTTGTCTCGTTAATTAAATGTTATATGTTGCAATAAAATATATGTTCTTTTCACAATTTACAAATTACATTAATAGTATATGTTATATGTTGCAAGAAATTATATATTCGTTTTACAATTGGCGTAATTTAAAGATTTGATTTCATTTCTTTTTTAATACATGCATACGTACTACTGAGGGGTAATTTATAATAAAAAATTAACAACATTACCACTTGAACTATATTATTTATGTAACGGTTTTTTTTTAGTTTATGTAAAGTACAGTTTTTTATGGAACGTACATGCACACTTGGCGCCTTTTTTTACCTTTTTTTAAAAAGGTAATTTTGTTAAGATATCACGCATTTTGTAGTGTTAAACATCTTATATTCTTATTAATACTTATTAATAAAAGAGATTAATACTATATCTCTTCACACGTGTGCGTATTACTAGAATATATTATTTATTATCAACATTTTCTAAAAATAATGTAGAAATGTTTTTAGCAGCTCTAGGCCATTGCTTTTTTGAAACTTGCGTATCATCAGCTTCAATCCAAGGAACCTTCTCTATACATACTTATAAAATGATCGTTTTCGATACATGGACCATAGTGAAATACAGTATTCATAACTTAATACGGCTGTCCAGCTATTAGTATTGCACTTGTTGGAAGAGCACATAAATTAATTTTTTTTGGCACCTTCACTAATGTTCTATTTTGGTAAGAAAATGAAATTAAATGGATGATTATCTGTTTCGTCTCTCAATATTATTTCATTTTTAAATAATATATCATTTCCCTCACAACGTTCACATAATTTATTATTTTATTTAGACCAATGTGAAAATCAAGTATTTAGTAAATTGTTAAGATTAAAACTTTCCTTGTTCGAATTGTTAACAAAAATTGAGAAAATAAAATTATTAGTAGTAACTTTTGTATCACCACATGTTATGCATCGTCAGTATTTTGAAAACCACGTATAACCCAAGAAGTAGTACTTTGTCGAACTTTTTGATCTGACTGTTGAACGGAAGTTATTATTTTCGGTAATGTCCATGGCACATCTTTAATTTTACGATAACTCTTTTGAAATAGTAATAATAATTTGTGCTTCTGGTTTATGTAGTCGTTTAGCCGATTATATTCAATAATTGCTTCTTCACTAGTTATTATAGATAAAGAATCGCATTAACCAAATACGCATTAAGGTTCACTTTCGTTGCTAATTTTACTTTAATTTTATAATAAAATTAGAATTCTATGAAGGCATTGTGAACAGCAGCTTAATGGACAAAACGCTTATGTATGTTACACATACGACTGAAAAAATTTGAAAAGCTGGAATGGTCCCTTTTTGGGAAATGATCTCCAGATCTCGGTATCGGCTGCACCAATTTTATTCGGACTGATCGCAATCGAAAGATACCGACGACATATAATAAAAGTGTTTTTAGATCTTTGATTGCGGCTTTAGTTTCTGAGTAATTTTAATCTAAAGCATATAAAAATTTAAAACGGGCCGCTTGACCGCTTAACGTGTGAACGTCATCGCGTATATATTTATGTCGTTATCAAATTCGCGAGGCTATAAACGGCATGAATATATACGTAATGATGTTCACACATCAAGCGGCCTGTTTCATATTTTTATACACTTTTATTTTAAAAGTAACTTATTAAAGTATTAAAGTAACTATACAGTGAAATTTCGACACATAATACAATGCTAATGAAACTATAGATAAATAAGTCGGTAAATGACAGCAATAAACGAGTGCTATCTACCGTCAAAAATATGAAAAGGAGATGACTTTTTGAGGCGACGTATCTTACATAAAATTTTGACATTTCGGATTTCGCATCACGATATCTCCGTTCGTGGGACACGTAGAGGATAAAATAAACGTTTATTACATATTTCGGACTCAAACTGTCGATGGAGTTCATATTCAGAACTCGATCGGTCTAGCCTTTATTAAAAAAACCTAGAATTTCGGATGCTCGGATGCCCGCAACTCGCTGACTCGCGTAAAGACACGCGTGTCTCGCACTGAGCGCCCACTTGGCGCGAGACACTACTATACCGTGTCTCTTGATAATGTTGAAATATGAAATAAGTAAAAATTAGGAAGAAATTAGGAAAAATTAAAAGATATTCTTATTTAGTATTTATTTAACGAGGGGCTAATACGTATACATATATACGTGTTAATATATTAACTCATTAACATGTATAATAACGGGATTAAGATCTAACATTGCTGTTGTACGCAATAGTAGGTACTTTACGATACTACAAGTTAGGATAAACGTGAGGCAGAAGGGCGACTGTGCTCAGCGTATGTTTGCTTATCGCGCTTCTCATATCGACCTGCTGAAAGTCGGCTAGTATTCTAATTTCAGATTCAGAGTATTCAGCACGATTGCTCTGAATCCTTTAGCAAACACTTCGCACGTTCATGCAATATCTTTGCGGATTTAGAAGTGAAGACACAGACCTGCGCGCGTGCATGCCTTCAACATGTCACCATCGGACATTCCCTCATCTCCTTTTTAACTATAGAAGTGTCGGTGCTTTATAGTCCAAGACGGAAATCCGTGGACTTTGAGATTGGCCGACCCTGTTGCGATCAGACGTCGAGCGACGAAATACTAGTGTGGTGATCGATGGGATCCCTGGGAACGATCGCTCCTGAAGCACGATGCTTCTTCTCGAGAAGCGATCGAAAAGTCCGATGAGACGTCAGGGAACTCGCGAAAAGATAGCTTCAGCGTCATCGTCAGGGGATAGAGAAAGAGAGGGAAAATAGGGAGGAGCCAGCTCATTAAAACGCAATATCTCCATCTACATGTAAATCTAATCGAGCAGACAAAACCACAGCGACATCAAACCACCGTTAACCACTGTCTATCCTATCATAGACGTGAATGGTGGGAGTTAAGCTCTGATATGAGCTCCCCTTTAACCGTCAGGGTGTACATTACCACTAAATTTCTCGTGTAATGAGATCTAATCCTGGTGTTTTCTTGTCTATGAAAACCGCATTATACCAGCGTTTTACTTACCGTAGAAATATTTCGTGCTATATACATAGATACCTTGTTAAAAGCTTAAAGATCGATTACAGTTAGCTTTCGCGTTCTTGTGGATTAAGCCGCTACTCTTTAATGAGAAAAATAAATAGTTGTAGAATTTATAACATTTTGGTTGATGCATTGAATATACAATTTCTGACTGAATTGCGTAGCTTTAATTGATAAATTTATGACGCTTTTAATTATGGTTATAAGTATAATTTATATCAATCAAATTAGAATGACAAATATATATTCGAAGCAATTAAAAAAGATTACACTTATTTAAAGGAAAAATTAAATTTATTTCAAATTTTTTTATCTCTTTCTTGTTGCAGTACCTATTGTTGCCATTGACGGTGTAATCGGAAAGAAGGTGCAGCTCCCTTGTGACATTCGTTCCACCAACAACGACGAAATCAGCATGGTGCTTTGGTATAAAGAAGACAGAGACGAACCGATTTACAGGTAAGATTTCGGATATCTATCATGAATTAATAACTGATTGTTGAAAGATTTCAAAGTTCTTAAATTATCGTATTTTCTATTACAAAAACATTGTTTTCGTACAAAGAGTCTTTTAATCTTTACTATACGATCTCAATGTGCCGGAGCGAAATGCTGAGAAAAACTTCTCGAATGTGGGAGTCATTCATATCGTCTATAAAGCGCACTTTCTCGTAGAAATCAAAAAGAAATGAGTTCAAGTGCTCAAGTCTGGAAATTCCTCGCGTTATTTTCCACAGCGAAGTTCATTCGGTACTCGGGTTGCCGTTTCGCTCCCACGGCCCGTGAAATTTTGCATATAGAATGGCGGTCGGCGCACCGTCGCGCCGCAGTCGTAGGATAGGAGTTGCCACGGCTGAAAGGGGGCTGACGTTAGTATCCGGTGGGTCATATTTAAGAAATGTAATAAGGTGTAAGATATGTGCGTGGGGATTGGCGAGACATCGTCTCGGGGTAGAAGGACGACGGAAAGTGTATGCGAAGCGACGTCGGGGATGCCGGCAGTGGCGTTTAGTGCGGAGAGGAGTGCAAGTCGTCGCTTGTTGTAAAGTCAGTTTAATCCTCGCCACGACGAAGAACTTTAAATTTAAAGACGGCCGTCGTACTAAAACCGTCTTCCCCTTGGCCTCGCGTACTCTTCTTCATGGGACCTCTCGCAGTAAAATATTTATTGCGTGACATCGTGCCCTCTTATCGTATGTACACTAGACAGTTAAGGAAAGGAAACTGCGAAGTTACTCGGGCATGATCGCGCATAGCTCCTTCGAAGTATTCCCCCTTACACATGTATTCAATGTTTCGTTTGTGATAGGAGTAACTCGTGTGACGTGCATGTCGTTTCATCAAGATTTCCTTGCATTATAACTTATTCAAGAAAAAGAAATAATTCTTTCCTTTCTCTTTACTTAATTTTATTGATTTAACAAAACTTTCATAATCCTTGAAGATGATTGAATCTTTCCTCGCCTATCTACATCGGTACGGAGAGAGTTCATCTAGTTTTTCATTTACTTAGAAAATGGAAGGGCAGAGAGAGCTTAAACGATTGACTGCATTCTTCATGATATGAATATTTGTTCGCGATCGTAGATCTAGATTTTTGAGTTTCAATATTACTGTAATATTGAACAGCCAGCGTCTTGATCGAACAAAACGCTCAGTAATATTTACAATCTCTCGAGCGGTCTTCGTATTTTACCTTAATAGATAACACTTCGCAAAATCGAATCCACTCAATTCCATTTCACGTTTTCTCTTAGGAAAGTTTCAAGACACTTAGACCCACCGAAGAGACCCGGTGAATTTCTTTCCTCACGTGAGACTTGAAAAAGTGATCGATTCTTTAACGATTATATAATACATATATGTGAAATGCGACAAGAGATGTGTTTGTTTACAGAGCTCTCAAATATTGCTTAAGATATTATCGTAATAAGCCATCGAAATTTATATTATTTTTATCAAACGATATAAAATGACGAGATATAAAGTATGAGAACAGAAATAAACAAAATTAAATTTCTACACATCTACAAATGTGTCTTATCAAATTTATCTGCAAATCGTACTCGTCTATTTCACTCAACATTTCAGTACGACAACGTGTGCTACTTCGTTCACAAATAGATTTCGCGAGTTATAAAAAGAGCAATACAAGTTCATCTACGCTCTGTAATCTCCCGAGATAACGAAGAAACGACTGTAGGCGATGTCGTTCCAGAAAATATCGTGGAATCAGGCTCTCAGGTCGTGATCGACGAATCGAGTGAGTAGACAGGCGATCGATCGATCTTGAGAGTCGTTTCGCTGTCGATGAATGCTAGGGTCGAAGTCAGAGGACCGATATGGGAAAATCGCTTTTCAGGGTTATCGCGCGCGAGAAAAGTCGGTCGAACGTGTTATATCCGCGAGCCGTTCTCGTGCTGGGCGACGGCTCGTGGAACGTGTGCTCGACCTCTCTTCGAGGTCTGCCCTCCTCCCACAACCCTGTCTACGACAACGAGGCGGGTGGGCAACATTGGTGGCGCGTCACGGAAGCGCCCTCCTCGTCCACTGGAAGTGCGAAGTGGAAGAATTAAATCGTATTTCAACGTCAATGCCGTGGAAGCAAGCGTGAGGGCGGGATAGCTTTGGGACTACTCAGTCACGAGCGAAAATCCGAACTCCCGTGCAGTCGCGGAACGCAATTTAACTTTTAGTCGCTCGCGAGGAGTCGTGAAGGGTTCTATGCCCGGCGTTCTCCCTCCTGAGTTACCTCTCTTCTTTCTGTCTCGTGCTCGCTCTCTTATATATCCCCGGACTGTTCCTCTAATCTGTCTCTCTTTGCTCCTGTTCTGGCTCACCGCGGATGCTTAATATGCAATCACGCACTGAGAACGACTCCCATGCGACTCCGTATATAGACGTGCCTCTGTCGAATCACCAGTCTCGAATCGTAGTTCCACGAATGATTCTTCAGCGAAGCTGCCGTGCATTGGAAAGGCCACGTGCAGGCGTGAGCCTCGACATGGAGCACGAAAGACGAGAATAATGTTTCGAATTAATCTTTCAGTCTACTATAGCTAGGTTCGTTAATTTTTCCGTCTGTTTCTAAAGCTTTTGTTCATGTAATGAGACAAAAAAAAATCACGTAGCAATTTTATATTAGATTTTATGTCATAAGGTATTATAAAATTACAATAGTGTGAATTGTGCTGATCATAATTTTTTAAATAATCCATTTAGAGGTAATTCGAGATATTTAATGGAATCAAAGATATCAAATTTTGTAATTGACGAGAAATCTTGAAGCGAATATTGTATATTCGATCACAAGTATCCAGAATACACACGTTCATTATTTACCATGTAATTAATTCAATCACGACAAGCTTTTAATAACGACGCCATGCTATCTCAATTGATATGCTGCAATTACATCGCAAATTATGTAATTAAATTGGTACAGTTTTTGATACATGAATAACAAGCAAAACGGTAATTACCAGCGATAAACTGACTCTTATTACGACGCGTATTCGATCGTTCTAGTATTCTGTGCCTATTAGCGAAAAACGTTGAAACTTCATATAACGTGAAGCATCAATAATTAATATAGCATGTATCGGTAATACACTCATAATGCGCTCGTATCTCATAACAATTGCAAAATGATGGAATTGTTATGGCTGAATTACTACAAAAGCTAATCGATTATTTTAGCTTCGACGTTCGCGGCCGCCGGCAATACAGCAACGCCCGTCTTTGGTCGTCGCCCTCGGCATTGGGACCAAGAGCTTTTTTTGTTACGGCGACGAATCCAGCTCACCTCAGCATTGATCGGCTGGAGAGCACTGATGAGGGGATCTACCGGTGCCGGGTGGACTTCAGAAACTCACCGACACGGAAACAAAGGATGAACTTAACTGTTATAGGTGAGAGCATTGTATCCCGGTGAAACTCAATCAACCAGTGATCACGCAACAATTAAAGTCAGTCCTTTTGATCAGGGCGTGGTAATGTAGGTCGCGTCAAGTATCGAAGCAAGAAGCGATCTCGAGGCCGCTTTTACGATGTATAATTTAACGTTGAATATAATCATTCAGTTCGTCACACGATACGTAGAGTTTGCGTGCGTTTGATTTAGATATACATTTATGCTCGATACATTTCGTCGTAAGCGTTAACTTACGAACTCACCACTTCCCGGCGCATAAATTAATCTCAGTGTAAGCCGCGGTTTGCCTCGCAAACTAGGAACTGCCGCGGCGATAATATACTTCGTAACTACGACCTGTTTTGCGACCATTATAACAGTTAATTCTGCTACAACGCCAAAGTTCTGTCGGATTCCATCGCATTCGACCGCGTACGCATCTCTCGCGCTGACTGTCATTTTGCTAGATGAACGATCAATTAGTATTCACGTTGAATTTTAACGACGTATGCTGTTCGCACAGTGCCTCCATCGAAGCCTGTAATATTGGATGGGGCGACGAAAGCTATTTGGGGCCTCGAGGAGCGGTACAACGAGGGGAGTGACGTGAACTTGATTTGCGAGGTTCGTGGTGGCAAGCCGCCCCCAAAGCTGACGTGGTATCTCGACAATACCGTGATAGACGAGTCCTATCACTACGATACCCAGGGCAGGTTAACGGTTAACCACTTGGCGTATCCGAAAATCGGGCGACAACACCTCCAGGCGAGGCTGATATGTCAGGCCAGCAATACGAACTTGGTGCCACCACAAACCAGATTACTCGTCCTCGAAATGAATCGTAAGTCATTTGACGATCCTGTTATGTTCTATCCATAATTATTTGTGCTATTTGGCGAAATTGTATTGTGACTGTGTGTTGCTTGTTCGTTTTGTTTTTTATTTTCTCGAGTTCGTGAATCAATTACGCATGACATTAAATTTACGCGTGTTGTCGTAACAGTGTAATTCTAATTTGTAATGTTATGACAACGTGCGACATTTGCTTTTCATAGTGACATCTACTAAATGACTTAATGAATGCGCCAGATAAAAATATCCATTCAGCGTAATTTAGATCCAGTATTACAAAATCGGTGATTGCGTATCTCAAATAGTGTCTTACATAAATTATAGAAGAGCGTCGAATGCTTTCCATCGAGTAATAGACTATAAGCGAGAATTAGCGCTGAGTCAGCACATCGATCGTTTCGTGCAAAAAAAAACGAAGGCCCCTCCTAGTGATGTTTAAAACGAAACTCCGATTACCTTAATGTACGTCCATACTGTGAATGACGATCGAGAAATGTTCTACTTACGCGACCTACTTTGTCAATCTTTATAGTGTTGCATGCAATGCGGTTTCTTAAACATGTTTTTACGGGAATCGCAATCTATCAAAGGGACGCCATAGCCAATCCAATTTGCCCTAAGAGAAAAAATTATCTTAAAATAAGAAAAAAGTTGTACATAAAACTTGTTAGCATTATTGCTAAGCACTTTATATAGACTAATACGATATGACTGATACTCGGGATGACGTATCGTCAAAGAACTCATTTATATATAATATGTATCATTATAAAACTCGTTTTTGCATTACGTTTTTACCTTCGATAATAACTTCGTAGCGGAATATAACAAATTATTGTTTACATTTTCTAATATTTTGCTATACGTATATAACGCAGCCGTTGAACGTAAACGTGCCCAGTGGACGTAAAGTGCTGCACATACGTAGTTCCATGTAATCATTAATGTAAGTACGCAATTATCGCGTGCATAACGAGCTACGAGAGTTCTCCATTTGCGCGTTGAGGTAGACACGAAATTACCGACAAGTTGACGCGCGTATTTTACGAAAGAAAAAACATTTGACTATGTTTCGTGTATTTTCCTACCTAGGGATATCTTCCTGAATGTCATTCATTTCTTTTTACGAAGCTACAAGTGTCTACCTTCATAATGAAGTCGCTGACCCTTAACGCGTTAATACAATGCTAGTTGCAAATGTAAGCGTGTGAATTATAACTCATTCTGACAACCGTCGTTTGTCGTGTATATCTCTTCTCCGCCAGCTTGCGACCTGAAAGATCATATATAGCAGCATATCAAACGATGTATTAATTGATAGAATCCGACGTTGTCCGAGGAAACGAATTCATGAGAATAATTCGTCAGTGGAGACCGATGCAAATTGGTGTTTTCCTTCGCTTTCGTGCTCACATGATTTTAGGCAGCTCCCATGTATCGCACACCGTTGGCGAATTGCCTCGACGGTCACAGAGAGTACATGTACCTATCGGAGGCCTTTTCACGTGGTCCTATAGCCGGGCCAAGGTATTCACGTACTGAACCTATTAGTCGTCCGGACGAGATTGGCTGATGGAGATAACGGTAACGCCTCTCGCAAGACGGATCAGTGAATCGCGTGCCTCCTGGTCCGCAGGTTCGATTTCGTGTTTCCTCGTGAGCACTTGGCGTGCGACAGCGCGTCTGTGTTCGGGCGAGCGTTGGGTCGGCGTCGGTCGATAGACGTGACGGAGAACGACCGCGCCATGCACGCGTGTGTGCGTGCACGTCTGTGGGCGCGTTAATTACTCCGTATGGGTGTCTCGCGCGTGGGTGGGTGCGTGTGTACGACGAGGTAAGAAGGTACCTACTCAACGCGCAACGCGCTAAGATATCGTGTAAGTGGCGGCTGGAGAGGGTTCGACTTGTAATGACCCAGTAACGTCGTGCCAGACAGGAGAAAACGGAGGACCGCGAAAGGGTGAGAAGAAACTATTCGAACCGGCGGCGATAACGTTAATGTAAACACGCGTAAAAGCATTAGTGCTTGACGGAGCTGCAAGAGGCGCTAATTCGTGGGCCGATTGATCTCGCCGATCGCACGTTGCATGCGCCTACACTTCTGGCAATCTCACGTCGTATATGTTAAGGGAGACGCGCGGATTAGTCGGGCGATTCGCGATACATGTTGCAACGCACGTTAACTTTATTTAATAGCACGGTTAATAACAGTATAGAGAAAAATTTTACAAAATCGAAACACTGCTCTCCCTCGTTCTGTACGTGTACTAATTTTATTAGAAATCCTTTGTTGACCAGTATATCGTTGCAGTTATAAACTACATTTTGCGTTTCACTGAACGCGAAGATATGACTTTGAAAAATATGACTTTTGTTGTAAAAGTCTGTGTATGTTCGTTTTTAACGTCATCCTAATTTCTTGTTTCTAACAAATATAATAGTTTTTATTTCAAGCCATCATTCTTTTTTATTTCAAACACGTCATTTTTCGGTTTGCATATAAAAATGGATGTTGTACACATTTGAGTGTACATGAATTTATTTATTATAGTTCCTTCAAGTCACAAACTGATGTTGACGATTGCTTTTGTTTCAAGGAATTGCATGCGATAGTTATGCAGATAGTTCACACGAACAACTAATCCTATATCAAACATAAATAATCAGACAGTATATGTAACTAGTCGCGGGTATACTCTTGTATGAATAATTTCGTACATTCCCACGGGTGATGCCTATTAATTCGTACATTGCAATGCATGCCGAATCCGCTTGATAGAACAAATAATAATAAGCATGCGTGTCCACGTTCCCGCCTGTTTGAATGCGTATCAATTCATTCTTAATTGCCGCCACATAAATCATCTTGAAATTTTAATGAGCTATTAAACGCCTTTGAACAATAAATTATCCCTTTCATCAAGATTTAACTTCTCGCCCTCGAAGTTTATCTCGATTGAGTGAGATTGATGAAACGAGATTCCGTTTCTCATTCTAAAGACTGAAGATGTAAGTTTATAATAACTTTTTAATTCAAAAAGATTTTGAAATTTTATTACATAACAAAAGATAAATTACAGATTAAAGCTTTTACAATGTCGTGACATTTTATAGCAGTAATTCTATTCTGATATGCACTGTTAATATTGGAAATCTATAATTTACGTTATGTACACAGATTTTTAGTACTGACAGTTTATATCGGAACACGACTATAATTGTGCTGTTGCATAGCAAGATTCGATCGGCGAGAATGTGAAAAATAAGTCAGTGGGCACGAAACGCGTGACGAGACTGGCGTGACGAAAGCTTTCGGAGTGGTCTGGAGTGTCTGTGACGTAGCATGCAAATGCGTTTTGTTCATAAATTTTTTGCAATGGTGAAACAACAGTGGGCGCGTTTTCTACGCAGTATTTGTTCGCAATTCGTGCCGATGCGACGTTAAGAATTAAAGTTGATATCAATGTGATAAACGGCTCGCTAGACTTGCCAATTGCAATTGCACTAATTCGTATCCGGTCGTGCGTGCATCGGCTCACGCACACAAACACTAGTACGCACATTATTTGCACGCGCCACATTCATTCGTGCGCGGTTATGCGTTTCGGAAACTGTTCGCTTGATAATAATTAATAATCCCGTCTCTCCAGCTGGGCCACGTTTCCACGACGCGCGGGGACATCACCGTCATTCATCAGGGAGTTATCTCGACCTCATTCCCCGATAAGACCGAAAGATTTCTTCTACTCGACGTGGGCCATGCGCTTTTCATCGTCGACGGTTTCTCGGGGGCATTGATTTCGGTCGAGAGTCGCGCGATGGAGCAGGTGGCCGTTCAACCGTCTGGAAATAAATGGGAAGGTGCGAAGAGCGTCGGTTTGATAAGTGCGCCGGCCGGGGGCGTCGACTGGTAGAGAATTATTCGAACAAACGATAACGCCACGGTAAACACGCGTGAAACCATTAAGGCTCGGCCCGCAGCGAACGTTAATTCACGAACGTTTGTTCATCGGTATTCGTAAATGGAATCGCGCCGCTGCAGCACCTCGATAATACGCGCGTAAAACTTGATGAATGCGCATTATATGGTTAATGATAAAACCGAGGACTCTACTTAGGTGCAAAAAAAGAACGACACGTGTACTTTGTTGTATTGACGTTACGAGGTTGATTGACCCGCTGAATCGAATACAACATTTTATTAGACGTAAGAATATATAGGATCTTGAAGATTTCTTTTACGGCTTTAGGATCAGCTTTTATTGAACGTATTCCTTTCGTCTTGAATTTTCAAGCTAAGTCTTGATCGTAATAGACAGTTCTGAGTTAAGTCAACAAGCCGCTTCAGGAAAACACTAAAGCCAAACGTGCGAACACGATATCTAACACGACTGATAGAGTGGAGCAATTTGTCAAAGCTGTCGGCAATCGCTAAATTACAAATGACAATAGAACCACAATGTCGAAGGGTTGATTCCACGGATATCGTAGCAGGAATCAACCATCGCTTCTCGTCCAAGCAATTGCACCCCGGCTTTGCGTGCTTTTGTTCTAATTGAACGTCGAAAATAGATACAATCCTTTCTCCTCGTTCCTCGGGCACCGTGAGGTGCGATCACGATCGACGTATACACGCGATGCCCGGCGTATCGAGTGATGCTCCCGTCAATACAATCTGTGCTATCCCTATCAGACCCTCATACGTATTTCAAATCCACCTTGCACAAAACTAAGCTATTCTCGAATCGCGCTGTCGACATGTTTTAATTAAAACCTAATCTCTCGCGAAACGTCTACTTGAACTAGATTGCATCGATTCTTCATTGTGTGCGCAACAATGCGATTACCGCACTAGATTGTATTATTGCGTTCGCAGTATTAAGCTGATCAAATGGACTCTTGATCATCGGATGAGTGGACGCGAAAGTTGATTATACGAATGAACGAAAGTTTCTATAAGTGCAAATTTATGGCCGGACTATCGTGAGGGTTATCATATCTATTCGTAGACAGGAACAAGTGCGTGTGTGCGTCAGGACGAGGGCACAGAGCGAAACGGAGGAGCCAATTTCGGAGAAGTGGCTACCAACTAATGGCAATTAGGGGTTGTACGAGTGGTTAGCCGTGGCGACGCATGAGCTTGCGTCGGAATTTATGACCATGTGACATCAACGTTATATTACGAATTGGCTAATTCGATTGCATTCGATCGATATAAATATTAAATATTCATTCATTACATATCTGAAAGCGATAAGAATATATTGAGCTATATATAAACCTGTACTTTATAAAAGTTAAATAATTTTGTAATTATAAAACTAAGTCCTCCTAATAAATATGAAATAATTATTCGTTATATTTATAACCATTTATAGGATCAAAAATTAATTTTTATTTAGAAAGTCATTTAAAGCTTCAGATTTATTTGGCAATGATATTCAATAACGACTGACTCACCGCAGAGTACTTTAAAATTTACTTACTTTCTTTTTAGATAATATCTCGTATTTTTTTATGTCTGCAGTCGTGCATTCAAATATAGAGAGATATTCAAATTTTAATTATAGATCTACTTAAAATTTCTATATAATGTTGAAATTAAAATTGATACTGACATCATTAAAGTTAATATTGGTCACGTACGAAAGTACGATTATAATTTTACATTGTTAATTTAATAGAGCCAAAAATATACCGTTTTAATAATTACGTTAGAGTTACGTGTTATTCTAGAATCTAGATATAGCAGGTCACAACACGTTCCCAAAAATGGATCATATAATTAATAATTATTGTAAAAAAAACTGTAGTTATAAACGAATTATGAAATTTTTCGTCGCAGAGATCAAGGCAACGTTTTATACGTTATTTCAGTAACAGAAAGAATGAAAATGAGCGATAAGAATAACTTCTGTTTTAGATAACACTTATTTTTTATAAGACCTTATACGACAATTGCAGATTTTCTGAGAATAAGTACACGATTATCTCGTAAATTTCAGAGTTAAATAGTTCAAATGTATCGCTGTGCGAAGAGCAAGATTTTAATCGCGATTTTTAAGCGATCTATACAGTTCTTTTATTTCTTTTATCTTTCGCGAAGCATACTCGTTCAGTTCGCCGGGCGACAAAATTTTGAAATGATTTTACGAATATGTTTCTCAAAAAGTAGATAGCCGATTTCGTCGTTATTTCGACTGTTTAATCTTATTTCGGATTTTTCCTGATACGAAACTGAGTATATCGTTGCTTTTGTAGTAACGGAGAGTCGTTTTCACGATTTCACTCGATAAAATCAGAGGGCAACTTCGAAACCGTAGCTATCCGAATAAAGTTGATTAAATTAAGATTCGCCATAATATAAACTTGGCTTTGCATGCACAGAATGCTTAACAAAATATAACTATCTGTATTCAATGTGTATCTTTTTTAAGTAATACAACAAAGAGAAAAAAATGAAAATAATTAATACAATAAAAACTTTCATATTATGAGATATATATTATACTTGATATATAAGCATTATTTGCTTTTTTAAATAACAGAACACCTCTATGAATATAGTAAATGTACACAACTACGTTGCATGAAAATTGCATTTTTTATTGATCGAAAAATAGGCTTTTTTCATTTATTAAATTAGAATATCTCTTTTTTTATAAATAAAAAAGCCCGAAAAATAAAGCGTTTTATAGTCTACTTACACGAAAACAAAACACGTTTTTCATTGTTGCAGTAAAACCATTGATAGTTCAAATCCTGACAAAGGAAACGAGAGTATCAGCCGATAAAAATTACGATGTGGAATGTCGATCAAGCGGTTCACGACCAAATGCGGTGATTACTTGGTGGAAAGCAAACAAGCCAATCATTAATAAGGAGATTAACAACGTAAGTTTATATATTATATATAATTGCATTTGATGAAAAAAAATATGTTTTACAGCGAAACGAAAGTAGACATTAGTTTAAAGGAGGTTACATCGTTTAAATGCAAAAGAGAGAGCAAACGTTCTTGGCTACTTGACAAAAAATTCCTTTCTCGGACTCTTTATTTGAAGGTGTTAAATGGTGACACTCAGTCTGTAATTTTTTTTACGACGAAAGCAAATTTATCTTAATACTTTTGTTACAAAACGATACGAGTAAAATTGAGATCAACTAAATTCAAATACTTAAAATATAAATCCCTTTTCTACTTTACTTTGTAGGATATTTTAAACGATAATTTGGTATGTGAAACAATAATTTTTTTGTTTTTGTAAGGCTACTTGATAAAAATTTCTCTGACGGACTTTTTATTTGAAGGTGCTAAATGGTGACACTTAGTCTGTACTTTTTAACGACGAAAATTAATTTATACACGGAGAAAATTTTATATTAAGTTTTAATACAATTTTAAATTAGACTTTACTATGTCTTGTATTTTCAATGGACTCTCACAACATGATTCCGACTTAACTTTTACTATGGTAATACTAATTTTTATCACATAAATAAAGTAATTATTTTGTTAAGCCATATTCTAACATGAAAACAGTTAATTTTTACTATGGTACGCAAACAAAATTTGCTAGGTATATTTGATTTTGTAATAAAAAATTTTTACTATGAAAAAGTGTAAAAATTACGTTATATTGTTGTTTTAAAAAAAATATAACTATAGCATTTAAACTTATAATTTACATGAAGACAGCAGCTACTATCACACATTATAGTAATTTTAAATATACAATTTTCTCCGTGTAGTACTTTTGTTATAAAAAGATGCGAGTAAAATTAAGAGCGATTAAATTCAAGTATTGGACTTTACTCGCGATGCGATGTAAATCTTTTTCTCACTTTACTTTGGAAAGGATATTTTAAACGGTAAAGGATATTTTAAACGGTAATTTGATGATATGTGGAACGATTATTTTTCTTGTTTCAGTAAGGCTACTTTATTAGAGATAAAATTATCTTTTTCATTACACGTACTGAATTCTCTAGATGATATTTTAATTGGATTAACATTACGACGATAATTATATACGTAAATACTAAATATTCAAATATATTTATATAATTTTAAAGGCAATTTTCAGAATCGAAATTTGAGAAGAAGTCGACAAAATTGCTCACCCGTTTTGCGGAAGAGTGTAGTTGATCGATTCTTCTTCCGAGTACTCTAATTTCAGAAAAGTTGCGCCGAGTGTTTTTATATTACCTCTTCCCGCGTTACGTCTGCCAGATACGAACATTTGTGTCGAATCTTGAAAAAACGGTTAACGGAAAGCGTTGCTGAAGTGCGCCGCACAATTCGGGGAAAAATTCTTGAAATCGACGTCCCGTAACTTGCCGCAGTTTACAACGATTCGTCCAGAAGTTAGGACGATGCAGTTATTTCGTTTTTCTTGAGGGCGACTTCTCGACCCCTTCCCTCCCCCTTATTCATCCGTTCATCCTGTCGCCTCGATCCCCGGCGTACCCCGGCACTCCTTCCACAGTAACGGAGAGTGTACAGAAGTTCACGAACGATCCAGTGGATCTTCGCTTCATAAACTTTCGAGACTTAACTTTCTTTTTCTATTTTCGACGTAGATGCCTCCGTTCACCGCCTGTAGCACGAAATGTTTTAGTAATACCTGAGAAAGCTAAATTTTTAAAATGTTTTTTCCCAAATATAACTATTCTCTTTACTTCAGGAAACTATTCTTGCAAATTCATGTCGTACGTTTCACGAGCTTATTTTTTTACATAAAAATATATAGATACCGTACATCGATCGATATTATAATCGATTTAGTAAATAACGATCGTATTGTTTTTGTCATTTCTTCTTAATTAATGCAACATCGTAGTTTGGTTATTGAAGTTTAACAATTGAAATAGCAAATATGAAACATTTATCGGTGTCTTTGTAATCATTAAATGATATGTATCTATAGCGCATATTCATGATGTTAAATATTCAAGATAATTATGCATAGGTATTAAAGTGACATGCAACCGATCGATATTATAACTGTGGTTGGTTAACACAGTAATGAAGCAATAAATGATAATTTTACCATTCGCCTATATTGTTATAAATAAAACAACATAATTGAGCTTAATAATGTGAGTAGTTTTCGTAGTAAAATAGCAAAATTTGCATTAGGATTTTTAATAATTTTATGAAAAAAGGTATTTTATTTTATTTATATAATACCTACATAACTTACAGAATAAGCATTAAAATAATTTGAAATTTGTATTATTTTTATTATATTATATAGATCACAGAGAAATACGTAAAAGTATATTAAGCTTCGTTAATAAAATGTATTCAGCATTTTCATGTATCAGAATTTTATGATGACTATGATAACAGGATGACATTACCGTTTTATGCTTGTATCATATATTTTTACTGCGCTATTATTTCATGATCATTTACGAGCGAAAATGTTTGAAGCACTCGTGACGACCATTACTGCATATATATAATATATCGCGATATTTCACAAAAAGTTGTTACGAATTTTTTCATATTATTACGTAGGGAAATACGTTTGTTTATTACGTTATAAATTAAAAATATTGAACAAGTTTTTATGAGAGAATATCTCTCTCATTCCTATATGTGATACAACAGAAAGTAAGAGAAAAATGCGTTTTTTTGACCTAGTATAGAAAAATTGGCCATATTTGTCTTTTGTAAATTCTATATATTTGATGCGTTTTGGCTTTATCTTAGAATCTTCATTATTTTTTAGAATTTATTATTTTTTATGAAAGCATGGAAAAGATCAAGATATCATGAGATTTAACTCGGAAATAATCACCTGGATTTTTATAGTACAATTCGGTCCAACGACAAAAAAATATAAATTATTATAAAATATTGTTTTGTATAGATATTATATATATTTTTCTTTTTTAATAACTATTATTTACAAAGCTTTAAATATGCAATTCCAATTTAAAAATCCAATAAAAAAAGATATATTAATTAAAATTATATTAAATTTTTTTTTTTAAATATCGTCATAAGCTACTTAATATATTTATTTTACTTAATATTTATTTGGTTTTTACTTACTTTTTTTTTAAGAAAATTGTTATTATTCCATAATGTTCTCAAATACTAAAAAAATCAGAAAACGATCAATAATATACAATACGTTTCTAATAATAATAATGATTTTAATTGAGGTTGAAAAATACTTAGGTTGATTGTTTACGTGAAGAAAATCAAGTGACTACTTCCGAGTTAATAAGATCACTTAGAGACATTATTTTATAGGAACAAATCAAGTGACGTTGCAAATTATTTCTCATTATTCGTCAATGTAACAAATAATCAAAATAATCAGTATTGCTATCAAATAAAGTCTACTCAAAAGATAGGGTTAGGTTCTATTTGCTTGTGTTAATAATTAGTTGGTATAACAGACCAACAGCAATCACAACAAATCAATGTTGTCACATATTTACAAATCATTTGTTAATGATACTGGTGGTTTGTTAAATTAACAAAATCCTTTCTCTCAGTGATGGATTCAATTAAGCGTTTTCCCATATATCCATGAAGATTCACATCCTCTTAGAAATCAAAGCTTGAAAAAACTACGCCAGTAACATTCGGTATGCGAAACGTTGTGACCGTAACGTCAGTTTGCGTACGGTCTACCTGCGCAATATATCGACGCCCGTGTGTTGGACTGTCCAGAGGGTTTTATCGGAAAATTCGATCGCGTCGCACTGAGGCGCACTGAAAGTACAACGCAGCGAAGCTTATAAAAAAAAGCGTACAGGAGATAGGGAAAGCGAGACAGAGAACGAACGAGGAGGAAAGGAGACGAGTCATCACGATCGGTAGAAGTGTATAAGAGAGTGAGAGACAGCAACGTACCACATTCATCCTGACGAACCATTACTTCCATTCATCGTATTCGCTATACTGATGCGGATACGTGGCTTTTCCGATATATATGCCCGATGGCGCTATCATTAAAATGACATCGTGAAAGCGGGAGGGACAGGGGCCGTGATGGAGAGAGGAAGCATCAGCGATGTGACCCGCACCCGCTTTGACCTCCATTTCCCGTCGTTGCTCTAAGCATCATAAATCTTGAAAAACCGTTAATTCCCGGCGCTCTTTTATTTCGGCATCACTTTGGCCTAACAGCTTCCAACGATGTTAAATTAATATTAGCAGCAAACGCGTGACGCCGCATGAAAAATGAATTGCGCTTTCAACGCGGGAAATGAGAAATGTGCGAATCGTGTTAAGATAGCGGAGTTTGTTAATGGGCTGATTAGTTTATCCGATTAATATAGGTCGAATCCACTTTTTAATTTGAATACCAAGTTGTACATATATCTCAATTAATTCAGCAAAGTGGTATGTCATGAATACAATATGAACATAGCGCAAATTTTTCAAATTCACACGAATTAAAATTTTTTTCGAAATCTACTATTACTTGGAAAAAATTCGATGTAAACTGTGCTTTTTTTCTAGATCGATATATTGAACTGTTTCAAGCAATCAATTTAGAAATATTTGATTCCTAAATCAACTGCGTTATTCGTTATGCAATATCGAAAAGATCGATACCAAAATCAAATTCGTTTTTCGGTTTCGCGTGACACAGCTATGTTGGAGCATCCAATTTCAAAATCAATGTGCATATTTAATTACAGTATCCGATTCAGAACAATCAGAGTTTGAGCATCCTCAGTTTCATACCAACTATAGAGGACGATGGTAAATATTTGACATGCCGCGCGGAAAATCCTGCTATACCAGACAGCGCGTTGGAGGACAAGTGGCGACTTGACGTACAATACCAACCGGTGGTCAGCTTAAGAATGGGCGAAACGCTGAATCCGGATGACATCAAAGAGGGCGATGACGTGTACTTTGAGTGTATAGTGCGGGCAAACCCGAAGGTGTACAAGCTCGCCTGGTTCAAAGATGTAAGTATCGTGAACACTCGCGTGTCTATCACGATATCCGCGAGAAAACATTTCACGGTGTATTTGCGTTTTGTTGTACAACCGCGCCGTTCATTCTCCCGCTGCTTTATGCAAATGTAATTCGTTCTCCATTAGATAACTTGCATGTATACTATTTCATGCCTTCTTTATTACAATACAGTTTCCATCTGTTAGTGTGCGAGCATTCAAATTACATTATAATTGTAATTAAGGAACACGGACTTCTATTAAATTCAAATTCTGTTGCAATTTCTACGTGGTTTCAGGGCAAAGAATTGAAGAATAATTCTACAGCAGGTGTAGTTCTTAGCGACCACTCTTTGGTACTCCAAGGATTGACTCGTTACTCTGCCGGCGCTTACACTTGTCTTGCCGCAAACAGCGAGGGAAAGACGGCCAGTAATCCGGTGTCTCTTCAGATAATGTGTAAGTGGAAGATACAATTACAAGTTTTTGTACGATTAATAGCCAAATTATTTCGATCGAAAATTTACTCGGGTAAACAATGCCGTAATAGTATTGGAGCGTATGTCCTTCATAACGCGACGTCGGTTCCCTAATTTCCCGCTTGCAGTTGCAATCCCCCGATAATTACTTAATCGATGGTAAGCAACTCCGCGGTATGCACAGGGCCAAGTACAGCAGGGTGTTTGTCGAACGCACGAGAAACGAACCCGACTGTTAAGTCAGGGATGAGACGGAAGGGTGGAGGATGAAGGGAGAACGGTAGATAGGGTGTATAGTTTTCTGTGAAACACGGAACGCGGGTTATTCTATTAGAATGGTCGGTGCCCCTGGTGCCAGCCTGGCGTATCTGCATCTTGTAAATGACCTAAGAGGGAAGGAAGGACTGCGATGCATATTCAGTGTATGTAAAGCGCAGCTGAATATTCATGTGTGGGTGAACGCAGGCTGGCAATGTGCTAAGCTAGGCCGGAGCAGACGTACGGCGGGGCGTACGTAACTGAAGGAGATCGTGGATTCGTCCTGATGTTCCAAACCCTCTTGCGAAGCCGACGATGTCGATCTTTTGCATTCGCATGGGATTTCGAACGATCTGTGATCACATCACAATATAATATTGCACATGTACGAGTCGCATACATGCCACGCAAAAGATTTTCCCCTTACGTTCATTTTATTCGAATCGCTCTTTGGATATTTCTCATTATCTTCTATAATGTGATTTATAATATCACATTACACAAATTCTGATGACGTAGTATATAGATTTATATCAATAATTTTTTATTACTGCAATAAGATACAAAAATTTATTACTGGTTTTGTTCTGATATATTTAAAAAAATATATTTTAAAATGGCATCTAATTTAAACGACAAAGTTTTTAATTAAGAAAAAGTAAGACTGCTTGCATTATATTCTGTACGAGTGTATAACGTAATAAGATCTATAGATTCTCGTCTAAACAACTTCAAGTGTTTGCAATGCAAATCGTATAAGTACGGAAAGCTTCCCGGTCAACACACATTTGATTCACAAATTTAGAAGTTTGCTAACACATCTATTATTATACATATGTGTTGAATATATATTTAAATCTTGATAACTTTGAATTTAATCAGAATTAAAAATTAAAATTTACATATTCTCTAATAGCAGCAATTCTGTCGCAGCATAAATTTCTATAATTATAAGAATTTGTTGGTTTGTTAAATTTAATAGAAATATATATAATAAATTTAATAGAATTTATTTTCATTAATACAATTTTTGACGGTTATAATTTCTATGTAATCTCGATTCTCTTATTTAATTTTTAATTTCTATTCTTATCTTCATAATAAATGAATGAGAATTGATTGTTAACTGAATAATTAACAAACACCTGTAATTCGGTGACTTCTAAGGTTTCTTAAACATTTATTATGTAACATTTAATCCGTTTTCGCTGGAATAGAAAAAAGAAAGAAAGACATAGTTGTTGAATATTTTACAAGCGAGACAAACATTGATCTAATAATTTGTCTGGTTATTCTAGAGAAATTGCGAAGTTATTGAAGTTGCACCTTCTCTCCTTAAACATATATCTGCGACATAAAACTGTCACATTTTTCCAAATCGTTCGACTTACGAAACAATGAAATAATAAATTTTTATAGAAATATTTTGACGAATGGAAAGTGAAATAAATAAGATGGAAGGGCTATATTGAAAAATGTTTAAAAAACATTAACGATTCGATCATATTCTTGATTTATAAAAGAATCGTAAGATATACCAAGAGAGACGTGTCTCGGAAAGCACCTTGTGGCATTTCACAAAGTGATTTTCACTTCAGAATACGTCGCATTAAGCGAAGAGATCGACCTGATTTCTCTATTACTATCTCTTATCCGCAAACTTCGAGAGCGGACGTTATTTCAAGGCGTCTACGTAAGATATCATCCTTTAGTAAACAGACATACCACTCCGGTGATACGTCGATATGTACATACCATAACGCCGCATCTCTCAAACTTCTCATCTTGGCAATTAATTTAGTATCGCATAGACTGTATCAAATTACAACCAGACAGTCTCTCTCTATCCGTGATTCCTAGCCTTCGCTCGTAAATCATCACTCACGCCGTGTGGGACTTCCGCATGTCATGGCCTATCGCAAATACCGGTGTCAAGGGAATTTCCTATTAGACTATCGATCGACCGTGCAACCGGCTGAACGGTGCCGAGCTGCTTCTTCTTCCGTTTGACACGTACTCGCGGATCTCGCCGAGTTATCGAAGCGCGCGCAAGTATCAGTGCAACCGTACAACGAAACATAATGTCGAATATCCATTTAAATCGTCGTTAGTATTATTCTATGATAAGAATGGAATGCTGATTGATTTACGATTATATGGCGCGACCCAGGAAAACATAAATTAATCAGAATACCTTTTTATGCTTATCATCGGACAATGAAATTTCTCGAGGCAGAAGAACGTCGACTTGCATACACTTTGTTATACATTAATCTTGACAAGCGGGTCATAAATCACCCTGTACTTCAAACTTTACGCTACTCCATCGTTGTTCGTAGAAAGGCCACCGTTGGCAAAGTACGACGACTTTGTTTGCAGATGCGCCGGTGTGCAAGGAGGGCAAGAGCGAGGTGGTGGTTGGCGCTTTGAAACAAGAGACGGTGTCGTTAGTGTGTTCTGTGGAGAGCCATCCGGCGCCATTGACTTTCCATTGGACATTCAATAATTCCGGCGAGCTCGTCGAGGTTCCACATTCACGTTACTCCCACGTATCGGCGCCCGGCACACTAGACGGGAAAGAGTACCAGCAGTTTCGTGGATTCAGACTGAACTACACACCAGCTACGGAAATGGATTACGGTACGGTGGCATGCTGGGCGAGCAACCAGGTTGGCAAGCAACGAACACCTTGCCTTTTTCAGGTGAGTACTTTTCCGCCTTTACCTTTTCGCTTCTTTACGTTTCCAGTGACTTACGCGGTTTTCAACGTACGATTCAGTATTTCAAGCTTTTAGCTTAACGTGCGAGCATATCAAATTTTCATCAAAAAAGAAAATCACATTTGTGTCATGGTGGATACTATTATATTTTATGTATAGAATATTTCTATCACACGTAAACATATATAAAGCTTTCCCTAACTTTATACAAGTTTTATTCCGATTTATAGAATCTCGATTTATAGAATATCGCGAATAAAATTTAAATTTTCTTCTATACGACAAGTTAATTTCTTTATTAATGTATATAATGAATAGTATGAATTACTTCTGATATCAAAGTTCCTGTCAAATATTCTCGATAAACATTTTATTTTTAATCATTATTTTTATGCTACATTATATAGCTCAGCTAAATTTAGCACGCTAGAAAGAAATTTTGTTAGAAACCCTGAAATAGTGTTTTATCATTAATTATAATATAGGACTTCATCTTCGTCTGATATCAAAAGATTCTTTTGATTGATAGAATTGAAACATATGGCTCCCAATCATTACACCGGTCATAATTCAGTTGTATCGATATATTTGATCTAAAAATGGTTAAATCATCCCTATGTACTGCATGTCTCAAATATTCCAGTATTTACACGACGTGCGTCATGTTGCTAGCTATTTCCTTCATAAATTTCATGCATTGTATACTCCGGCATCACTATGCTCCATACATTTTCATTTTGATCGATCGACGGCATCTACAAAGAATGCGGGAGTTGCTTTCTTTGACGATACAAACTGTGCTCGTATTTGACATGCATAGGAGTCTTCGAACGTGTGTAAAGTCGCTACTGGAAAGATCGATCGCTCCTTCCCTATTGTGAAAACTGCAATATAAAAGAATGCACGATGTAAACATAACCGTTAAACGATATTGTTAAATTATGCAGTTGTATGCATAATATTATGTGGTATTAAGAATGTATTGCTTGGTCTGATCTTTTTCTTATGGAACGAGAAATTGAATTCCGCGTCATATGTAATGCAATAAAGGACATATTGGTCGACTAATGCAAATACACTTTATCTCCTGTCTGCTTGTTTCAGGTTATAGCCGCGGGCCGACCGTACGCTCTTCACAATTGCAGTGCTACGGAAATGTCAGCGCCTCTGGATATGGAGGAACTTGGTACGAAATCAGGAACAGGGCTGATAGTCCGATGCCTGGAGGGCTACGATGGAGGTCTTCCGATACACAGTTATCAGCTGGAAGTCGTATCTGATGAGGACGGAGGTCCGATTCTCTTAAATAAAACTGTGCCGGCAGGTCCCAATGGACCGACTTTCGAAGTCGCAGGACTAACAACGGGAAAAAGCTATCGACTTTTCCTATATGCAATTAATGCGAAGGGGAGAAGCGAACCTGCCATACTTGAACCGGTAACCCTGAAGGGTGTTGCTATGTACACGACTGGTGAGTACATTTAGTTCCTCAAAAATACTTTTATACTCAACGGGAGAGCAACCTTGAAACTTGAAGTGTTACTGTTTCATTTTCTTTTATTTTTTCGTTGATACTTATAATGGAACTTAAAATATTTTATGATGAAGAGATCTCATTTCTTAATTTTGAATAATACTGAGTGAAAAATACGAGAAACTAAAGAGATAAAACTAGCTTGAGCTTAGAATTTTCCAGTTATGGCAAATGTACGACTGATTAAAATTGTGATAATCGTATAAATGTAACTATTTATACTAAGAATGTCGGAGCTCATTCTGAGTTTAAGGGAAGCTACGAGAAGTTTCGTCGTTAGCAGAGATGATTATTCTCGTATTACGTGTAACTAAAGAGAATGATCTTAAGTCTAAAACGTCTCCGAGCAAAGTCGTAAACGAATCATAAGCACAATTTGGTTGACTTATAAAGTTACTGGATGAAGAAACCTGTAGTGATGTAAATTTACGTTGTAGCATCACATAAAGTTCTTTATGATACGCTCTACATTATATTTAAATTTCTTATATCATGCAAAGTACGGTCGCGTTATCCTTTGCTCGAGAGAGAGCTTATGGCTCGCTAATTGTCTCGCTTCCACATTGCATGGAACGGATAGGACTTCGAAGTACCCTTGCAAATGAAATATTCACTTTTCGTACGAAATAGAATTTTTGCTAACTGTCGGGAATAAAAAAGAGTGATTGCATTGTATTCATCAGCCGGCGACCAAACCAGTTTCCTTTTTCGACTTCCTGCATTTACGCGTCGATCGTCGGTTGCTGCAGCAATAACAATCGCGCTACATTTTTCTCGTCGGGTCTTGTTGAAAACCGAGCGGTGCAGACATGCTCTCTGAAAAATGACGCGACCCGGCCCGGAAAAAACGCTGAATTTCGCTTTTGACGGTCCATTAACGTGCGTTCGGACGCGAGTGTGGTTACGGCGTGTGCGGATAGCGCCTATTATACACGATGATAGGCGTCGCAAGGACGGCGGATATGATCGCAATTTCACAAATACTGCGAGCGAGCGCGTCAGTATTGCAATTAGTCGGTTAACCGACCCCCGTCTCCTCGCCGTTCTCCACGACAGGCTCACACTGTGGTTGACGATGTTGTGAACCAGGATGTGAGGAACGGGAGGTGGACGGATGGTCTACCACCCGAATGGAGGTGGAAGCGACTACTGCTAGTAGGGAGTTTGTAATGCTGAACGCAGCACAACGCAACCGCAGGTATCGGGCTCTGCGGACCTTGCAATTAACAAAACAGATTACTCTCAATCAACGAACACCTATACCCGCTTCGGTGCACGGGACGTGACAGTTTCACTGGCTTTCTGCGACTCCCCATGTGATTCCGTGGGGAAATAGCAAACAGCATGCGTTCTGCGTTGATTTGAGTTGTGGTCAGTTGGCTTCTTCCCTTGACCTAAATCGAGAAATTCAACATAATGGAAAAAAAAAGAAAAGAAATTTATTAAATAAGAGGAGCATGGTGTACGTGCTATCAGGATATTTATTTTTAAGAAACTACGAAAATTATCTTACGATTCGCTCGTAAAAACATATATAATACATAATAACGTCTTTTTATTATAAATTTTACTATTTAGATAATATATTTATAATTTAGTGCTGTTGTCTTTTACATAATTTTGTACATTGCTTAATTGGATTTAACAAAGTCGATCGAATTTATTCTACTATCAATGAAAACTAATAAACTAGAGAACGTGCACCGAAAGTTTGAATGTATATACACATATATATATATATATATCTTTATCATTTGATAAATTTATTTATCAGAGAGAATACTTATTCACATTGTCAGTAAACTCCTTCAGCTTTCACGTAACTGCAAAGGGGAAACATTCCTTGACGTCTCGGTATATTTTCTTATAGTATTGGTGGCGTTAAACCATGTTGTAAACTTGAAAGGCATCAAACTCAAAGAACTTATCGTCCGAGCGTCTATTCGTGCTGTCGCTCGTCGACACGAAAAAGCCAAAACGCGAGAATGTAATCGTCGACTTGATCGATGTGCTGCAGACTGCATTACATACCAAAAATTGTTGGAAGGTTGGCGTGCTTGAATTTAGCTGCAGCGAACGGAAGCTAGCTTCCGCCACTTTAATACGCAAAAGTAAAAGGTTGCTGCGTGTTCTTGTTTTGGCAAATACTTTCAGCCAGGCCAACAAATCCAACAAGTCTTTCGCACGAGCGAAGCCAATGCACGAACGATCGGCAAGTATAACATTTGCACAAACATCTCGCCTGACAGCACCTCGATCATTTCTTTTCCATTTCTGAGCAATGCTCGATTATAATGGACTCTATCCGTGCGACTCCAGCAACGTAATAGAAAGTCATTGGTAACATACGGTCGCGGGTCAACACGGGGTTAATTCAGTTTACCACCGATTTCTAACGCCACCAACCACGTAGTCCCACTATTCCACATCTTCATGTTTCCTCCGCGCTCTCTCCTCATCGTCGTCCTTCACCGCCGAGTCCAACCCTCCTTACTATCTCCTTCCTCCCTTCTTCACTAATTCCGACACGCTTGGCTTTGCAATCTGGTTCTCTGTGTGCGAGGGTGGTGAGGCGCAAATATTGATTTGACGACCGTAACCTCGCGGCGCTGATTTGCCCGAATGGCGGCCTGTCTACGAACCATCGAAGCCAATTTGCGGATTCTTTGTATTGTCCCCATCTAGCATTGTCCTATAAAGAGCCGCAGGGGTTTGTTAGCGACAGAAGGCACTGTGTCAGCTTTTTTGACTGCGTTTTTAACATCTGCGACTGTTTATTCTGATTCGTGAAATCAATATTCTCCATCATTCCTTTGTAGCAATCACAACGTACATATTTTATCTCTACATATAAAATAATAAAACTAATTAAATAAGAGAATTCCTAAATTCGGTCAAAGCAGATTTTAGTGCTTAAATATTTCTATATAAATTTATATACTTATCTGATTCTGTTAACTGCGCGCGGAAATCTTTTTCTGCCTTGAAATGCAATCATGAAGAACCAGAGTAGTAATGTCATTTTATTAAATTGAAAAGCAATATTAACGAGAACCTTATCTGCGAATAATTTTATTGAAAGATATATTATCTCAACCAGGATTTGAATCTGGAACTTCTGACTTTTCGAGATCAATTCGACTACTGAGACTTCGGTAATAACCAATAACTAATACAAGCGAACGTAATATTTCAAAGAGATATGGAATAAACCACATGATATTTAGAATTTAAACCGAATAAATTTACTTAAATAAGATAATTCCATGTATTCAGTAAAAATAATAAAAATATGTAAATATACTGTCTTTGATATGTTTATTAACATAAAAATAAAACATTTGAAAATGGTTTATTGAAGATCGGTAAAGTTTGATATTAGAGTAAAGTAGATATACAACCGTATAATTTATGCTCAGTACACAGAGAATGAAGGTGAATCTCCATTTTACACTTCTCGCTTATCACGCTCCGCGTGTTCTGAAAATACTCCCTCTTTTCCTTTACTCCAACAAACCATGGCGGTTCGCACGGAGATCTACTGAAATGTTTTTGCGTACCTTACTGGTACCTCCTGTGAGGAACAAGAAGTGGCCGCGAACGAACGAGACGCTAGTCGGTAACGATACCGACGTGCCGAGAAGAAGATATGATTCAAGTCGAGAAGTTCCTCTCGCCACAGTGTGAGAACAAGAAAAACGGTAACTCGACGCGGCACGCCGCGGTGGCACAAGAAAACGAGCACAAGGAATAAAAGCGGTAAGGCAAGTCGGCACGGCTAAGACAAGTAAGAAGAAAATTGTGTAGTAGCCTCTTACCGTCACCCATCTATTTCGTAATCTCTCATTGAACGTATACCGGCTGATCCATTAGTAAAATTAAGCGGATGACGAATATCCCTTTCCTTCCATGAGGTATCCTTAACTTGTCGACCCACGCCGGTTCTACAAAATAAAAGTAATAGCGGTAAAAGAAGATACCTCTTCTTTCACTAGTATCTTTAGACGTGGTGCGCTAAAGACACGTAGTATGAAAGAAGAGACAACGATGGCAGAAGAAAAAACAGGAAATAAAAATGAGATACCAAGGATGGGAGCGTAAGGATACTTGGGGTTGCTAGGGGCGATTCAAATATTCTTGTTGGAGAAACTCCGTTCGTATATAAGTCGCATAACTCTCCGAAAAGGATTACGAGGATTTTAGGATTAATCCTAAAAGTTTCGTATCAAGCGAAGGATGCGATAAACATCGCGATACAAATTTATGCGGGTTATTATTAGAGATATTAAAGAAGTTAAACTCACCTCATTTATATTCGATATCGGGATCTTCAAATATAGACGTTTAAGCGGGAAGCAAACATATTAGGTGTTAAACTTAATTCCTGCCGTTTTTCGTCTCCAGAATTTATTTGTTTCGGAGAGAAATACCTTAATCAAAGTATTATTAATCAGTAATAAAGTAAAAAATGGAGGAAATTACTTTGATTAAGGTATTCATTCATCTTCCCTTCGAAACGAATCAATTTTGGAAACAAAAAACGGCAAGAATTAAGTTTAACACCTAATAATTATCTGGAAAAAGGGATAACTCCTGCAACATCCAGCTTTCGTTTTATCGAGAAAAGAAAAAATTCCAAAAATCGATCATTCCCCTAGCTCAAGATTCTCAAGGTTTTTCCGAGAGTTTTTGGTATTCTCACACGCGGTGGAGTCGGTTGTTTGGCCTCGGGGGTTGCCACGTGGACGGTTTTAGAATGCAATTCTTTCGAAATTGGTTTCGGGTTTCTGCGGGATTGCTTCGATTTGGGACGAATTACTTTAACCACTACGAAAAACGGCTCACTCGCGTCCCGCCGATCTGGCCCTTCACTCGCAGAAAATTTTCACCATGAAAATCCGCATCCAAACTCTCTCTATGTCACGAGTAGCTTTCGC